TAAATAGCTTGTTATATTGAGCTATAATTTAAATCCTACTATCAATAGTTCACGGTATAACCCTCTGTGTCCTTATTCATTTATTTAAATATTGTAACTTAATTCCGGAGCCTGCTATGGAACGAGCTGAGTCAAAGACAATAGCTATTGGACTAGCTGCTGGTACTGCTCCGAGTGAGCAGGAGAAGCATTTAAACATGTTCAGAGCCGAGGCTGCTAAAAATAATGAGGCAGCAGACAGAGAGCAAAAGAAGAAGCAAGAAGCAGCTGAGAAGGCCGGGAAGGAGAAAAAGATTTGTGAGGAATTCAATTTGGGTATGACTCACTTCCCAAAAGACAAAAAGGATTCGAAATGCACTCATAGACAATAATTTACCCAAATTGAAATAAATAATTTTATCCCTGTGAGGATCTTGAGCAAATTTTGTAAATACTACGGAAAAGGTAATAGCTGAGACAAGGCGCCGATATCAAAGAATAAACCGTGCGGCCCCAACGAAGTACACAACATAAACCCTTTTTCAGTTAAAGAATAGATTGATATAATAATCGGTAATTGATCATATGCCCATACCCTTATTTATGAAGATGTACATTTAACCGCACTTGATATCGGGACGAATATCGGGACTGATTAAGCATAGTTGTTCTGCTCTGGATATAGAATAGTTTTAAGTCTATCATAGATTTTAACATCAAAGCGGGAGAGTAACCCAAAGCTCAGTGTTCTATTAAAATGTTCATATTGAATTAATTAATGACAGAACAGCCGATTTCAACCTTCATGTAGTGGAGGTAGGCGGACTGTATCAAATGATACAGATCAAAAACACCTTACAGAAGTTAGGTTCCAGTTTATCTAGCTTGCCAACTTATGTAGAGAAAATGATCGATATCCAAGAGGATATTGATGAAATAGTCAAACTTAGACAAGATGAATTAAATCAAGAACTCAAATGTTTTAAGTCACTTTTGAAATTGAATGAAAAAATCAGCACAGCCGAATTAATTGATTTAAAGGTAAAAATATATTCAAATATGGAAAAACTCCTATATCAGAAGTTTCCGACACGGAATCGTGTTCCTAAAAGACTTTGACATAAAGTTGATATGAAGCAGTCAAAAAATTGATCGACGATAAAGTCATTGAATTAAATAATAAAAGCACTCAAGTGAATATCGCATTACTTGCTGTGAAGCAGTTGAATAAGCACAAATAGTAATTCACGAATCTGTTTACATGTAAGGCATTAAATGCAGCTATGCCAATGGACAGATTTATTTTGCCAGATATATGTACATTATTTGGAAAAGTATTTGGGAAAACATACTTTGCTTCCATAAATTTGAAACAAGGATTCAAACACGTGAAGATTGCAGAATCCCAACAAAGGTATATCACGTTCACATGAAATGACATACAATACAAGCATAGAGGAGCACCTCTTGTTATTTTCATTGTTCTAGTATCTTGTTTTCAACGAATGATATTCTATTTATTCGCAGACTTGACGTTTATATATTTTAGATATCAATATTCTCTCTATGGCTAGCGATTTAACGAAAGAACACGAACTAATTTCGAAAGAAGTGCTCAAAGATTAAATATGAAAATGAATTGATTCGAGCTAAGTCACATTTTGGCTTTACAGAAATATACTTACTTGGACATGTAGTATATACAAAAGGAAGAATAGCTGAACTGAACTGAATCAAACGTCTGATGCAGCTCCCAACCCCAAAACAGGAAAGGTATGAAATCTTTACTTGGAATGGCAAATTCTAGGAGAAAAGAGATTCCTCATTTAGCTAAATATACAGAACCTTTTCATAAAGTATCTACGCTCAGTATGCTGTTTTAATAGTTCTCTTTGAACAATATGTTTTAATAGTTCTCTTTGAACAATACCACCTAAGATGCATACGAATAGTCAATGAATGATAGGACTTATTTCTAGGCTTGGAACCCATCTTGATGAAGCCAGTACCAAGAAAAGTCCCTTTTTGAGTCAATAAAGGCAACATTTGTGTATGGCTTATCGTTGTCGGAACTTCAGCGTCACTCAGCTAGTAGTGTTCAGAAACTACGAATGATGTTAGATAGATATGTAGACGGTGTTTGGAAACCGTAATTGGTTATATATATGTTATAGACTGGGATATGCCTAAAGCTTCTTAGCGGTATGAAGGATATAAAATGACAATTGATAAGGGTGGGTGGGTGCGGACAAGAAGGAAGATGAGATAGGACTGGTGTATTATTTATTTTATACATAAGACGAGCTCGGTGTCTGACTGCTAATATTTTTCTGATGTGAGTATGCTCCCTTTATCGTCTAATTCATTATACAATTAAGTGTGCATCCTTCAGCATAATTATTGGTAATCAGTACTCTTTTGCCGAGTTTGGATTCAACATTATCTCAGAGTAAAACTCTGCAAAATATATTGGTTCTTGTCACCTTAAGACATACAATGTCTTGATCGAAGCTTAGGCTCATGTCCTCAAAAGCTGAATTATTGCTGCTGCTGCTGCCTTAATCTCTACTTTTTCCGATGTGGGTCGAGTGTACCGTATGACTGCACCTTCCTGTCTGGGACGGAGTGTAATAGTAGAGCTCGGTCATCAGTTAATAGTCCCTGAATAACGATGTCGGCAGCAGTGATCGCGGTCGTTGTGAGATAATGAGCAACCGAACCTTTCTTCACGCACATGATGTTTGCTATCACAAAGGCGGGTATTGCATATTAAACATGGTTGTGCGAAACCACGTCGTAAAAACCCTAGAAGACTTGAGTAAGCCGACTGGCTCAAAATCTTCACGCACTGCTCGTAGTCGCCCGCAACTTGACACCGAGGGATGACTTGTGTGATGGCGGCTAAGAAGTGTGTAATATCAAAATCGAAAATCACCTTATCGACTAGCCTTGACTGACAATTGCTTTGCTTAGCCAATTTGAAGCAAACTCTGTCCAGCACGACATGTTTTGGTTTGACACGTATAAGTGTGTCCCATTTTGTAGCCAAAGAGAATCATCCAAAGGTAGATTACGTTGTTTAAGACATTGATCACATGACACCTGAACGCACGCTGATATAGCATTAGATTGTGCGTTGCTCGCCATTCCACCGTGTGATCACGCTTGATGCGGATCCAGTTTTTTTGCTAAATGTGAAGTATTCATGTCGCACCATTTGCTAAAAGCTGATCGAGCTTTCTTCTAGTCGTTAAGTGTCATACCAGCGCCCATACAATACCCCGCATATGATAGGAGACGTTCCGTATATTGAAATGGACGAAATGCTTACCGCTGTAGGGTGCAAAATTCGTGAATAGAGATAGTACCTGGTGCCAGTCCGCCGTTGTGTAGACCTGATCGCAGCAAGTCTTCTCGATAAATTTCCAGGAATGGGGATCGACAATGGATTTCTGGAAGGCACTGTAAAATACTGCTAAGAAACGCCATGGGGGGGGGTTGCTTAAGCTGGCCTGCTACCGTTCGCGGGTAATGTACTGCTCCTTCTGGCAAGAAATGAAGTGCAGTCGCGTGCCATCAGGTTCCCCGACTAAATTTATGCTGTCCAAAATGGTACCGTGATCACTCGCTCGGCTTCCTCTCAGTCTGATTTTTCTATCGCCTGGCCACCGGCAGAGTATACAAGTGTGTATTCAGATTTCATTGATAATGGAATGCGTGCAGCTGTTGTTTGCTGCTGCATGATGTGTCTTGAGTTTGCAATACTCTGTCGAAAATAGATCTACCTCCGATACGGATATGTGTCATAGTTGATATTATTAGTTTCAGAAGTTCCAAAGATTTGACAGTCCATGAGAAGTGAAGGAGGTTTCCATTTCTGTTGAGTTCGTCCGTTGTCAAATTTAGCTCTCCCGGAAGATATGCTAGTGCTATGAATCAATTGATTTGTTTGTTATGCCACGTCAGCTCAATTGTCGTAACTCTTCCGCTAGAAATGAATGGATGTTGAGCACTGCAAATGCTGCCCATTGAAGAATTCCCCAAGTACAGGCGCCAAAGTTTAAGAAGAATTTAACTCTGGATGAGGAAGACGATAGAACAAACTGAGGTCGTCGTCTAAACTATCTTTTGGCCAAAAGAGACAGATACTCGAAACCTGTTCTTTAATGGATTTATAATTACCCCCAAGTGATTTAAACACTAAACTGGTGTTTTCCATTCCCCTTTCCCGTCCGCTAAACCAAAACCAAAGTATTGTTGAGTTAATTGTTGAAGTCGCGGTGGGTCTGTACAAGGAATAGGGTTGCGAGCAGCAGAAGATTGGGCATATAAAAGTATTGCGAAAGCGACAAGCTCAACGTACGGTGTTCATTAACAGTTGGAAGTATTCGGCGAGAAGGTTGCCCCCATAGGAAGAGCAAGAAAGCAAAAGAACTGCCCCTAGCGATCCCGAAATTGCCAAATTCGGGATTGTGTCACTCCTAGGGCGTAGCCACCTCGGTATTCCGTGGTACTTTGCTGTTCTTGCTTGCTTTTTCATTGGCCACCTTCGGATCTTAAATCAGCCTTGCCCGGATCCAGTCCGATTTCGGCACCATGAATGATTTGTGTTTCAGGTAGACCTCCGCCTCGGCACACTTCTTAAGTACTTTGCCACTGACTTACTGATCTCAAAGGTTCGACCTTCTCCATCTCCGGCGTTACCTCTTGCGCCAAGATCCAGCTCCTTGATTGGATGTTGTCGGAAGTCTGAGATTCCCCCATAACGATCGAACGCCGTACGGTATCGCATCGCATATCTTGCGACTTGTCTCCAACGCCCACCATCATTGAAGATGAGCACGGACTCGGAGAAATAGAGTGTCCTTTTGCTAAGTGCTGGGGGTTGATGTGACAATAGCTATTCTGACAAGGGCGGAGTCGGTCGTGTTAAATTAAGGTTATAGAGTCTTTTAACCCTTAAAAAATTCTACTGTTTCTGTAAATATTAACTATGGCCAATTTGTGTTCTTTCTTCACTTAGTTGTCGTACGGTTTCTGCAGCATGTAACATCCAGGGACCAGATTATCAGAAAAGCCAATCATAATCCCAAAACCCAGGATTATCAAACACTGAGTTTTGGATCTAGGATCTAATATTTCTGATGATAGAGTGATCCGAAATAGAAGCGGGATTACCGTAGTTGATACCGGGACCCCCGCCTGTGAGAGAAACACTCAAGTAAATATTAAGTCTAGTGTAGAAAATACTAAACACAAATAAAGACTCAATGCGAGTCCTGCAGCCTAAGACTTTACCTAGCTGTAGGATTCGCACTTGAGAAGACGTCTATTGTTTCTTCTGGTCGTATCTTATAAGCTGCTTTCAAACTCTATATGCAGTAAATCGTTG